CAGGATCTTTGCTACCAACTCCACCATGGATGCCTCCCAACAAAGCTTCTGGTCCGAACTTGATTGTACTGAAGAGGTGTGCAGCGGAGCTTGCTCCAGTTCTTTCGCGTCTCTTCCAGATATCTTATGAATCCAAAAAACTGTAAATTTGCTCATGTCCAACCCATCACAAAAAAGCATCTGAAACCGACCCTTACAACTACAGGCCTATAGCTCTGCTTTCTGTTATAAGTAAGGTGATGAGAGGTGCATAAATCGTGAGTTTCTGGACTACCTCGAACGTCTCAACATGATTAGCGACAGGCAGTATGGTTTCCGATACCAGCGATCCACAGGGGACCTCCTAGCTTACGTCACGCAATTGTGGAATAAGCTAATCCTGCCCTCTTATCCAAACTTCCATCCCATGACCTCCCAGAAAGGCTTTGCAGATGGGTGGCTGACTTTCTCTCTGGCCGCAAGGTATCCGTCGTGATTGACGGGATCTCCTCTTCATCCCGCAAGGTTAACGCGGGTGTTCCCAAGGGATTGGCCTTGGCTCCGACACGATTTTTCTTGCATATCAACGACCTCCTTTCCGGAACAATCATCCCAATCCACAGCTTCGCTGATGACAGCACTCTGCATGCAGGAATTCATAGTGACAAGGCAATCTCTGCAGCTGAGCTGGAAAAAAGAAGATTAGCGACGACTATCTCTCTGACAAGAGACCAGAAGGTTATCACTGCTTGGGGACGCAACAAGCTGGTATAGTGTAATCCTTCCAAAACACAGTACTGTACCGTGATGAACAAAAAGCTTCCTAGCGCTCATACGGTTCCGATGGATGGCCGGGTTCTGCCAAAGAGCCATTCATTTAGGCTGGTCGTAGTCCAGATCACCGAGGACTTGATCTGGCACGAACACATCTTGTCAGTATGTCACACGTTTGGGGTAGGCCGCCGCCCGACTATATTATCTATGCTTGATGTTGTTCAGAGAAGGGCTGTCCGACTGATCGATGACTCTTCTCTAACAAACAGTCTCGGGTCTCTTTCACACCGGCGGCCGTCGGCGATCAAGTTTTCTTCTACCGCTACACCAACGGACTTTGCTCCTCAGAGTTCTCTTCCATGATGCCTCTGCGCGATGTGCCTGCCATAGAGACCCGGCTGCTTCCGTACAAAAAAATTACTACAATAAAAGCCTCCTACTTCCATTGTATGTTGGCTAGGGCGCAGCATAATCACTAGTTGCGTTCGGCACTTGAAAAGGCTTTAAGTGTAAAAAAGGCGAACTTTAATGGAATTACCAATGTAGCCAAAAATGCTGGAAATAGCCAGCGTACAAGTGGAGAAAAAATACAGAAAATCGCTAAGTCTGGCAACAGTGTTGTTTTGTCCAGATGGCACGTGACTCAGTCGCGACTAGGATAGAGATGGGACATCTTATTCATACTGATCGGTGCACGAAAATAACTGAATGACTCTGCACACTGCAAGTGGGGAAAGTGATTTTTCTTAGGTACCAGAAGGAACTAAGGAACAGTCAAATAAGAATTCCATCTGACATGCATGAAACATCTGTCGAAATCAGGTTTAACTATTGTATGAAAATGTTTTATTGACATCGATAAATTTCTAGAACATCCAAAAGTCTGAAAAATCTTTGAAAAATTTGAAAATCTCCAAAAAATATATAAACGTAGCCAACAGTCAAGCTAGTGAAAAATCTTTCGGAAGCAAGTATCGAGAACCACAGGCTCCAGGGGTGCGGAGGAAAGTGGAAATTCTCTGACATGTGAGGCAACTTGAAGTGAGATGAGATTATAACTGAGAAAGTGGCCAAAATAGAAGCTACTGAAATCAGCCTTATGTGGTCTAAACTGTTACATATTACCAAGCTATTCAATCGCGTTTTCTTTTAGTGAAGCCAGTGTTGGACTAGTGTATATTCCAAATTCTTATAACAGAAGCAATTTATATATTCATGTTTTTTTGGCAAGCATTTTGAACTAGTGTTTCAATCAGTGTAGAAACATACAGAACTTGAAGCAACTCGGGCTGGTGTTGTCTACTGTCTGCCTCGATTTCCATCTTTGAATGCAGACGTGCTATTTGCTCGTGGTTTACTATTATTCTATTTGATGATTCATCATAGTAACACGGAAAAGGACAAAGAAACGAAAAATATGCTTCATTGACAGATTACTGCACGCGACACGACATGAGAGTTGTTTAATGTTGTTTTGGGAACAATATCAGGATCAAAGGTATTAACTAAGGTAGAGTATTTTAAACATAAAAACTGAGCTAATTTTATCAGAAGAAAACACTATCTGAGCCACAGAAGCAAAGCGAATCTCAGGCCTTCGATTCTCCCATCACTAGTGCGATGAAATGACAATTTGCCCTCCTTGGATTACTTGAAATAGTGATGTGCTTTCTAGTGCTTTGCATTAAGTTGCATTCAGTTCTAGAAACTGGTTCATGAACAAACCACTTTATGCAACAATACCACAAAAAATATATGTACCGAAACAGAGCAGATATTCCAGTCTGTCAGTCGAGATAACGTAAAAACGATTCAATTCATATCTTTTAACCGTTCCAATGCATTCCAATGATTGCAAATGTATCATCCTCCCATCACTAACATTGTGAGACACGAATTTCAAATGTCAATTGTTCTTTGGTCTATTTTCCAACGTTACTGTAGTCTATGTTTTGTGGTAACTTGTCACTTGTTGTTTTGAGCTTGTTGTGTTATTTCTAAAAAATGGATTTTCGGAATAAAAAGTGCTCTCTCCAATATCTTTCTTGTGCAGAATTACATATTACACTGTCGTGTACAGTTAAATCTACATTAACCCCGAAATACGTGGTTATGTTGAGTGTACCATGTACCATCACCGATGGACTGATACACTGAAATCAAAATAAGAACACTGCAACTGCAATTAAATGTATGAATGGAATCTTGAACAGCTTCGGACCAGTGGTGTCAAAATGTCGTTCAGGAATTGGAAAAAAGTGTATGAATGTGTTAAACGCAACACCTAAAAAAATTTGAGTGAAAATGCTTTTTCATGTGAGAATTTGGAAGTGCAAGTTTGCAAAGGTAGGAAAGCTATTAATACCCAGTATGTGTTGTTGAGTTAATATAATCACATATGGATTACAAAAGTTGCAATAAACATGGAGAAACCTTCAGCTAAACTGAAAAAAAAAAATGGATTTTACTCAGCCATCAAGCATTTTTTTACATTTTGGCTCAGTTTTATATAATTTGTTAATATTTCATACACTGAAAACATTTCAATGGCAAGCTGTCACTTCATATTTTACAGTGTTTTGTTTTGAATACTTTGATGCTATTTGCTGCCAAAAATTTGACGGAGAGATCTTAAGGCTGATTTGGTATATTTGACGGACTGTTTAGTACTCGTACCCTATTGGTGCAGAACAATGGTTTGTCAAATGGTGAAATCGGCCCTAACTCCAGTATTGCGGCCATTGCAATATGGCGATTTACATTTTTTATAGTTACCCCAATGACATGGGTGTCGAATCAGTAACTTGATGAGTGAAGCACAATAAGCAAAGTGACGCCATTATTAATTCAATAAGGCGATCGCCCTAAGATGGCGTTTGTAAAAGTCACCCCTATGATGTACGTATCATATTCAAGTGCTTTATGAATGAAATATAGCAAGCAAGAGTCATTCTTAACCCAATATGGCAGCTATTGCAGAATGGCGATTTATAATTTCCATAGTCATCCCTACTCTATAGGTATCAAGTAAAAGGGCTTGATGAGAGAACATGACAAGATAATTGACGTCATTCTAGATGCAATGTTGCGGCCGCCGCTAAATGCCGATTTACAATTGAAGACAAGTGAATAAGGGTGTCATGTAACAAGATCATTGTATGGAGAAAATTGACGTTAAACATTTTTTATTGGGATTGTTTACTGTATTGGCATTTTAAATATTTAGCTTAATTGGTTTGTTACTATCTTGTTTTTGTCACAAAGTAATCACAGAATGAAAGAATCACTCCTTAAGGTTGGTTTAATTCAAAGCAATTTTTAAAAAATGTTACATGGTACCTTTATCCACTTTTATTTGAAAACTTGAGATCTATTATGGTTTAAATGTTTCCAATCGGAAAAATTATTTTTAAATTTTTAGTTCACTTCATGAACAGCTAAATAAAAGCTTTTTTTCATTTCATAGTCTCTGATATATTATCATGCTCTCCAATTTCCCTTCTACATAGTATACCTCACACCGACAACAAATTCACACTTTTCACCTTAACAAAACCTCTTCCGTTTAAAAAGACATACCTAACGGTATATCACTTGTTCATGCTTCTTTGCATAAAATCATATTACTTTCATATTCCAGGCTCTTCTGTAAGCCGGGTGGAAGCTACAGACGCGGACAGTGGCGTCAACACGTTGATCGGGTACCAGATACAAAAAGGATAGAAATTACTTAACTAGTTATTTAGTATCATGAATACTAAAAGATAAATAACAAATAATAAAAAACGTTTTTGAGAACAAACTTCTATTTTGTTTGAACTAAATTTTTAAAAATATTTGTTTTCGATTAGAAATATTTAATCGATAATGTATCTCATTCGTCTCAAGTTTTCAAATGAAAGCGTTTTATATACACTTTTTCCACCCCGCTATCAAAACCTGAGACGCTTTTATTTGAAAACTTGAGATTCATTATGGTTTAAATGTTTCCAATCGGAAAAATTATTTTTAAATTTTTAGTTCACTTCATGAACAGCTAAATAAAAGTTTTTTTTTCATTTCATTTATTAGTCTCTGATATATTATCATGCTCTCCAATTTCCCTTCTACATAGTATACCTTACACCGACAACAAATTCGCACTTTTCACCTTAACAAAACCTCTTCCGTTTAAAAAGACATACCTCTAACGGTACATCACTTGTTCATGCTTCTTTGCATAAAATCATATTACTTTCATATTCCAGGCTCTTCTGTAAGCCGGGTGGAAGCTACAGACGCGGACAGTGGCGTCAACGCGTTGATCGAGTACCACCTACAAAAAGGAGCTTACGAAGATTTCGTCATCGACAACACCACAGGGATGGTCAGCGTGGCGTCGAAGCTAGACTTTGATCGTAAAAACACTTACAACGTGGAAGTGCTCGCTGTGGACCATGGTACACCCAGGCTTACTGGAACTACCACGGTTACCATCAACATTATCAATGCCAACGATAAGCTGCCATTTTTCGTTCCCACGACCCAGACTGCCGAGGTAAATTTATGTACAGGGTGTTTCAGAAAAACATGCTAATCTTTATAGGGTAGTACATTCAATAATAACAAAAAAAGTCTATAAGAATGTCCAAAGATGCTCCCCTGCCGAGATACGGGGTGATGAAGTTTTATTTACAAAATTTACGGAGCTGGTGAAGATACTGAGTTAAGATTTCAGACGTTCAGTGAGCACATCATAATCAATAAACACACAGAGTTTTCCGGCCTAAACCAGGGACATGGAAACTGGGGTACATGTACCCCTAATAGGACAAATTTTCTACGATTCTGGCCTTTTCTGTGTGTACGTTACTGATGTACTCACTGAACGTCTAAAATCCTAACTCTGTCACTTTACCTGCTCCGTAGATACATTTCTTTAAATTTCGAAAATAAAACTTCATTACCCTGTATCTGTATCTCGGTAGGGGATCAGCTTGAGACCCATATTTGTAGAAACTTTTTGTTATTTTTGAATGAAATATTGGCACGAATTTTTGAAACAGCCTGTATAATAATACGTATATGTAGTTGATCTAACTGGTCGATTTTCTCGATGGCGATTACCCTGAATATTAGACATAGATAAACATTCTTCAAATTTTCTTGTCAACTTAATCATATACTTATTATTAATATTTTTCTCTGGATGTAACGCATTAAACAACCGGCAGTAGCTCTTGCAATGTTCCCATTTTGGTAATACAGTTTTATTATTTCTACCCTTCCTTTAATTAATTAAGTCATTGTTCAATATTTATGACAACTAGGTAGGTAACCTTTGTTTGTTTGATTAAGATTTATTTAGCATGATTGCTATAATTACATTCTTTTAAACAACTGCAACAATTACATAACATACAGATATTCAGAAAAAAAACGAAATTTGCATCTCTAAGAATTTTCATTGTCCATGAAATATTCCTTTAATTTTCTTTTAAATATCTTTAAATTACAAGTAAACTTTATATCGTTATTTACTTTATTAAATTCAAGTAATCCTTTCTGAAATATTGATTTCCTAGTTATATTACTATTGCAATTTTGTAAATGAAAATATATATTTCCTCTTGTATAATAATTGTGGTAATGATTATTCAATTCTATGTAGTGTTCTAAATGTTCTGGCAAAAGATGATTTTTTATTTTAAATATAAAAATAAGAATATGAAGAATTCTTTATATTCAACCACTGCAATTCTTGTAACATAGATTTTATTTTGGTGTACTTATTTATTCAATATTATTCTCATAGCTTTATTTTGCAAGACCTGTAATTTTGAGAATACAGCTCCATTGGCAGTGAACAAGATAGTTGAACAATATAGTAAATGCGGTAGAATAATTGTATTATAAACTAACAATTTGAAATGAAAGACAAAGTTTTTCTATGACATGCGATGACAGTGGCTGATTCTAAATGTTCTTGCTGGTATCCATGATTATTATTTTTACCCTGCATTCCATTATTACCAGTATTAAGTTAGGTTAATCGAATTTTATTATAAACTCAAATAGCATCACAACGATTGAATATAGGTATAAACTTTATCATACAAAAGTTACCAAAAACTTCATGGAAAGTCTAAAAATTGAAAAAAATGGGGGTTTCCATTTACAAATCTAAAGTGTAACGCAGTATCTTATTTTTGGATCACATTGTATTGTACGGATATTGATGAAAAGACGTCCCCCAAGAAATCAAAATTGACGTGTGCGAGTGTTTTTCAAAAAAAAAAACCAGGAGAGTCAGAAATGGGGGTGCGACCTCTTCGATGGCCACCCTGTATGTTTCTTTTGTAAAAATTTGTACTTCAAATTTTACACTCCATTTGGGATTCGCCACAGAGAATGGAAAGTAAAGAAGCGGACTGTGAAGTTATGTATGTAGTGCGGAAAGCTCGAGTATATGATACTGCCACCTATGAGTATCTCGCCAAAGCTATTCTAACACCTCTACAACGGTAGTGGCAAGCCAACACGTTTCCCGGCATTTCTGAATGGCAGTCCGCTTCAATGAAACTAAACTAAACACAGGCAGAGATGCCCGGAAGCGTTGCCGACGTAAGGGTCGGTAGTGCCGCTTAGGCGAACTGCTCATATTTAGCAGTGCCAAATACTCAAGCTTTCCAGATGGCTTGTTTCTAAAACTATGTACATATTTAGTATGCAAAGTCGACAAGGAGTGCTGAAGTTTTGAGCACACTTTCACAAGTTTTAGGTATACTGATAAATAGAAAGTGATTAAAATTTTAACTCGAAATTTCGCAAAATAGTTGAGATATCCCACCTTAATGTTAATAATGTGTTGAAGCTCATTTGTTCGCTACATATTCGTTAAGTCGACGCGGCATTGATTGGATTAGGTGATTGATGTCTTCTTGGTGTATTATATCCCAGACCATCTGAATTTGGTTTCGTAGAGCCTCCAATGTTTGTGCAGAGTGCGATGAATTTTGCAACCTTCTTCCCATCATGTCCCATGCATGTTCGATGGGGGAAAGGTCTGGAGATCGAGGAGGCCACTGAAGCAGATTTACTCCGGAGGCTACTAAAAAGTCTAAACTAACACGTGCGACATGAGGTCGTGTATTGTCCTGCTAAAAAGGTGGATCTTGCAGTGTTTCCAAATCACGTCTCCCCCTTACTCTTGTAAGGCCACCATGTGTGCCCAAACAGAATCTAGACTCATCGCTGAACACGACTGAGTTCCATTCCATATTCCATTCAAGTTTCTCCCTACTCCATACCAATCGTTGCTGACGATGCTGGGGGGTCAGAGGTAGAACAATATGGGGACGGTACGAAAACAGTCGAAAAGACCTTATTCGGCGATAAACTGAACTCATTGTTATTGTAACCACTGGTTTGCAATTGTCTTTGTTGTGGAAAATCGATCTCTAAGTGCTAGTTGCCTCAAATAACGATCCTGCGTTCTGCAGTCTGTCTTTGACGTCCTCACAACATCTCATTACAGTAACTTCGTTTCGATTCACCCTATTAGCGATTAGCTTTACGTAACCTGATTATTCGACTCCTCTCAAACTCTAAAAGTTGAGTGAAATTAGCGCGTCTGTGAACTTTAGGCATGATAATGCAATGAAACAACAATGAAACAAATGAAACCAACACAGAAAGATCACTGAATATTAAGTAAACATGTTAATATTTTTCGGATCCTGATATGACAAAAAAGCAGCAGGTAGTCAAGAAGAAAAAGGAATTTGAGCCCTTCTACTTACAGTAGCTAAAACTAATAAATAACTAATAATTCTATAATAAAATTATTTTTCATTAAATCTATATAATAAATATAATCAAATTCAACTACCAAAATTTAGTATTCAACAAATAGCTATTAAAATTGCCACATCGCCAATTCTAGATAAAGGTGTTAATATACCTTCATTAAAAGACTTGATAATAAATTACTAAAATATAAGAAATTAGTCCTAATCCATCTCAACCTAATATTTTTTGTTCTATTCAACACTGCATCATCCTTAAGCTATTAGCAGCTGGTTTGTTTACAACTTATGTAACATAAGTATATCCTTCAGATACTCGATAATCTTATTTACATTGCAGTTCGGGCCTATAATGTCGTTAAGGTTACCACTAATATTGTTATCTGTTCTGTGATGTTTAAAGGGCACTCCAATAACGTATGACGCACAGTCAGACGCTTACAAATTTCACATATTGGCTCCCATTCACCAGCGATGAGGAATCCGTGTGTAGCTCTTGTGTGGCCTAGGCGTAAACGGGTTATCACCACTTGATGTTGTCTGTTGGTGGACACTACTTCCCATGGTCCAAAAGTCGGTTTAGTTCTTTCAGTTTCGATGGAGATTCTTGCCATTTACTATTCCATTTACTCTTTACTCTTTTACTCTCCGGATATAAACTCACTTCCATTCTCGGAATGAACGGGTGGAGGGTGGACTCGAGGGAACATCGGAGATAAAATTTGTTTCGCGAACATCTGCGGGATTAACAGCAACATTGATGCTGTACATCACTACTTGCAATCCAATCGTCCCGCCATGTTTTTCTTAGCGGAGACAAAAATCTCAGAGTCCGCACTGATTAACCATCTTAGCTTCCCAAATTACTAGGTGCACCCCAACCTGAAAAAGAACGGGGGAGTTGTGGTCTTTCCCCTACTGAGCGAGGGTCGTGGCAAATGCTTGTTCCGGAAGTTGTTGTATCCAGTATACAAGTTCTTCCCGTCCAAGTGATTGTTCACGCGTTAAGGAATACCTCAGTACCGATTGCCGGGTGGCGGTACAAGTCCGCCAACGGGCCACTTTAGGTCTATTTAATATCACTAATACGTAAAAAAAAAGGTGGTGGAACCACCCGCTAGCTTTTCCCAGGGTGTCTTATAAATGTCCGCATGTTTTCACACCTAAGCTATGCAGTCGGTTAACTTCCAAAACAAAGAAATTAATGATGATGGATCCCTCGAGCATTAGGAACTCCGGACGTAAACTCACTCCACTCTCGGAATGTCTGGGTGGAGGGTGAGCTCGAGGGAACAACATCGAAGATAAAATTTGTTTTTCGAACATCTGCGGGATTAACAGCAACATTGATGCTGTTCATCACTACCTGCAATCCAATCGTCCCGCCGTGCTTTTCTTGGCGGAGACAAAAATCTCAGCGATTCACCACCTCAACTTCCCAAACTATGAGGTGCACTCCAATCTGAGAAAGAACGGGGGAGTTGTGGCTTTTGTCCGCAGCAGTCTTTCCTGCTCCAGGGATCTTTCTTTGGAATCAGACCGGAAGGACATTCTGTGGCTTCGCCTCAACTCCAAAACATCACTCAAATTTATTTGTTGCCTTTATCGCTCTCCCTCGAACCATAACTGGGATGACCTACTCGAATACCTCGCCGTCCATATCGACTTCCTGAACATCAATCACCCCGCTTCAGAGGTAGTTCTTCTCGGTGATTTCAATGCCCATAATGAGCTTTGGTTGGGCTCAAAT